TTCAAATCAGGAGCAAAGGTAGATTCAACAGAAGCCTCATTGCTGGTCCTGGGCAGGAAAGCCTCCCTCCTCCTGAATACATGCTCAGGCCTGGTCCAGTTGGGATTTGCTTCTTGCCAGCCCCTCTAAGTCTGGTCCCACAGCCCTGCTCCTTGTAATTCAAAAAGAATGAAGCTTTGAAAAGTGGAATTGTGAGGAACGAGTTCCTTTACTCTGGAGAAGAAGAGGCAGAGTGAGAGCCTCTCCATCCTTTAACACAAATGCCTACAAGTAGATAAATACTCTGCAGTCTCATGACTAGTTTAACCACAATTAAAAATTTTAAAACATTTCAGCTAATAAAAAAGAGAGAACACTACCAGGTCAACAATTCTGGTCAAAGGTACCACTGTATGTCTTTTGTCAAGTAAACCAGTAGGATCTACAGTTGAACTATAACACCAATAGAAAATCACAGGCATTCTGCAGGCCTTTGTGTCTGAAGCACTGATCCCTGTGATTCCTCAGCTGCTGTCCACAGGCGCCTTCTGTCCCCCACCTGGTGTGGAGGGCTTCACCTGCTGAGAGCCCTTGTGTCTGAACTACCCATTTGTCTTACACGGTTTACACTCATTACTCCCAGTGTGGCCCTGGACCAGCAGCATGGGTGGCACCTCGGAACTTGTTAGAAATGCATTCTTAGGTCCCACCTCAGCCCTACTGAATCTGCACCTGCATTTTGGCAAGATCCCCAGGTGACTCATGTATCCATTAAAGTTTGCAACACTGACTTGTGTTATCACTCATCTTTCCAAACACAGTCTTGGGTCCTCTCCAGGTGTGAGAGTGTTCTATCATCTTCCATCCCGTTTGCTGTCTCTACCACAGGATCCTTACCCCTATCTCTGTCTGCTTCAGATTTGAGACCCTTACTCACTTCCGGGAGAGGTGTCCTTTGTTCATGTTCTCTTCAAGCCCCAGATCACAATTTACTTCTTCCCTTTTACTCTGGGGGAGAAATATACAACATAGTAAAGAAAGCATGGACTTCGGCATTGGAAAGACGTGAGATCTGGCTGTGTCACTTATGAGATGGATGACTAAGCAAATCTTTATCTGTGTGAGCCTCATCTGTAAAATGAAGACATTAGTACTCTCCACGTCATGTAGATACTGCCTGCCACATGATTCATCTGCTTGCTCAACCTTCCTAGCTGCATGTTTGGCCCTTGGCTATCTCTTGACAATGAGATCTTGAGCACCCCTGGCAGGGATGGCCTTGTTCTTGGGCCCATACCCCTCTCCAATAGTGGCTCCGGAGAACTAGATGTGAACAACACTTATAATGCAACCCAATGCCTTCTTCAACTAGCATCTCTTCCTGGCCTGCCATTAATTCAGCTCTGATTTGACCAGTTCCCAATTTGCAAATTTGGGATGAGATCTTTTACGCCAGTTGCTTCCAAGCAAAATGTGGTTATTATTTTTGCAATTATAGCAACGTTTTGCTTGAGAGAATACAGTATATTTCTATCACCATTCAAAAAGTTAGTTTTGATGGTATAAAAATTCATTTTTAATTAAAACAGGTTTGGCATATTACATATTCATTCTACAAAGAGCAGGTACTTCTGTTTTTTCCTTCTTGCATTTTACTTGTTTTCTTTACTTCTTTTAAAAACATTGTTCCTGGCTGAGCATGATGGCTTATGCCTGTAATTCCAGAACTTTGAGAGGCCGAGGTGGGCGAATTAATCGAGGTCAGGAGTTCAAGATCAGCCTTGCCAGTATAGTGAAACCTCGTCTCTACTAAAAACACAAAAATTAGTCAGGTGTAGTGGTGGGTGCTTGTAGTCCTAGCTACTCAGGAGGCTAAGGCAGGAGAATGGCTTGAACCTGGGAGGCAGAGGTTGCAGTGAGTCAAGATCACACCACTTCACTCCAGACGTGGCAACAGAGTGAGACTCTATATCAAAATAAATAAAATTTTAAAATAATAAAAAAACGAAAACACTGTTCCTGCGCATTAGAGGTCAGCAGAGACAAGAAGACACATTCTAGTCAACCCCTACCCCCGCCCTGCTTTGGTGACTCAGTGGGAGGGAAAGTTGAATTTTTCTGGAGTATCTTATTTTTTCCAAATGGTGAAAAAAAAAGCTGAAACTAATTTATACATCTAATCTTTATTCTCACTAGGTATATTATACACGCTATATACTTGATAATAGCTAAATAGTAAAAAAGTTAAAGAAGTAAAGTTTCCATTTTGAGTGTGGTTTTTTAAAGGTTTCATTTGCTTTTAAAATTAAATTATCGGCCAGGTACGGTGGCTCATGCCTGTAATCCCAGCACTTTGGGAGGCCGAGGCAGGCGGATCTCGAAGTCAAGAGATCAAGACCATCCTGGTCAACATGGTGAAACCCCGTCTCTACTAAAAATACAAAAATTAGCTGGGCATGGTTGTGCATGACTGTAGTCTCAGTTACTTGAGAGACTGAGGCAGAAGAATCGATTGAACTTGGGAGGTAGAGGTTGCAGTGAGCTGAGATCATACCACTGCACTCTAGCCTGGTGACAGAGCGAGACTCCATCTCAAAAAAAAAAAAAAAAAAAAAAAAAAAAAAGAAATTGAATTATCAGCAAGTCCCAGTACCAAACTGCTAATGCTGTGCATGCAATTTAGGGGTCAAGGTTCTAGTTAAGGAAACAACATTTCAAAATACTAAGAATGAGCAGCTTGGATTAAAAATTACATCTGCTTATATTTTCTCAGCCAAGATGTTTTTCTTTTTAGCTTGCTCTTTTCTTTTCTTTTCTTTTCTTTTTTTTTCAACACAGATATTGTTAATCCAGGGGTGGGTACTCCTAATCTCCACTAATTCATTCCTTTAGGGTTGATAGATCTCTTTCACCCTGTATGATTCTAAATATTTTGTTCTAAGGAGAGACAGTTTCTCTCTGTGATGTTTCACATCTGGTGTGGGAGAGCTCAGACAGTGAATCTCAACATAAAGCCATCTGGGAGTTGGCCTTGATAGAGATAGCAACTTAATGATTAAAAAGTTTAAAATGGTACATTTTTCAAAGTAGAATCATGTACTGGGAGGGGGATAAATTGAGATAAACACTCTCTTTGGAATACTTTGTTGAGATGAATTTGTAATTTTTAGTTCCCAGTCGTAATATGAAAAAACAAGCTGAATTTTCAACACAACAGGCAGAAGTGATTAAACCAGGCTGTTGTTTGCACATATCTTGGCATATGTTTCTAAAAATATCAGAGAGACGCCTCCTTCAGAGTCATTTTCTGGCTTTCTCTCTCAACCGGACCCTAACATTTCTGGAAACTACCCAACATTGGAATCATAGTTTGAAATGGTCATTGCCAAGTTTTCGTATCCACGACAACTTGTTACTACACTTGACCTCAGCCAAAAGGCCAAGAAGCCGCCCAGGCGAGACTCTGAGACGGCTTTTGTCTGGTGATGGACGAAGATAAATCTCGGTGGAACCTCCAAAATGTTGTACTGAATCGAGCATAGAAAGTCAACACCAAGACAAAAGCATGCCTAATTGCAGGGTCTTTATTGCAGGCGGCCATGGAGAACTCGCATCTCTCCAACCCATGGCCCCAAAAGGAGGGTGTCAAGACCTTTTATACCCGTAAAACCACCTCAGGGGTGAGGTGAGGAGCAGGGATTGGGGTAAGGGGCTCCAGACATTCCTAGGGCTAGTGGATTCTGTAAATCACCTCCTGGGCGGAGATGAGGGTGAGGGGCTCCAGACATTCCAAGGGCCAGGGGACTTTTGTCACTCCGATTGTTACTTAAATGGTTCACAAAAGTCAAGATTAGTTTACACGTTGTCTGGGTAGCGTTGAAATTACAGACCTTAATTACTTATTACAAGTCGCAGGGGCCAAGATGGCATGGGTTTGGACTGCTTGCCTGTCACATTAGGGGTTACAGAGGCAGTTTCAACAGAAAGCCGAGGGATGGTTGAGGTATGCAGTTTTATGGGGATTTTACCATGTCACAATGTAAGATGCTAACACTAGAGGAACTGGGTGAAGGGTATTTGGGAAACTTGTACTCGTTTTGCAATTTTTTTCTTATATAAATAATTCCCCCCACAAAAGTCTAAAAGATATGCATTAGATTACGGAGGGAAAAAAACCTTAGTCTGAGATTTGCTTCAAATATTGCTGATAATTGTTGAAGCAAGGTGATGGGTTCATCAAAGCTTTGTAGTGTTCTTCCTATATTTATGTATGTTAGGCAATTTCCATTAGAGAACTAGAAATTACATATACATCTATTAAGCCCTTTCTATGTGCTAAGCACTGTGGTTAGCCATGGAGACTTGGCAGCCCTGTCTCAAGGAGCTCACAGTTAACAGGGGGAGAGCAGACATAACACTCGGAATGTAGAAAGAGTGGCGTGATAGAAGAAGCATAGGATGCCTGGAAGCAGGAGAGAAAGAATTGCTCCTAACTGAAGAAACAGCATGTGGAGCCTTGGACTAGAAACGCAAATGAACTCAGGAAACACAGCTGAAGTCTTTTGTCTGCCCAGGGCAAGGACAACTCAGCCAGATTCTTTGGTCCTATAAAACTTGGTGATATTATTTATAATTTAGTCTTTTAAAATCAATTTAGAAGGCAATCTCCCTATTCTCTTGATCAAGTCCCCTTTCCTGACACCACCCTCCTGTGACACTCTCCTCCTCTTCCCACGATGTTTTCTCCTCTGTCATAAATCAGCAGCTTATTTCACGAGATCCTCCTTAAGCAGTGTTCAAAGGATACTGGTCCCCAGTGACCTTCTGAGGCAGCCAGATAGATCTGAACTCTTCTTTCTGTGTACTTATGAATAGCCTTGAAATGAATTGCTATCATTTTCTTCCTAGCAGAGCATGGAACTCTGGAGACTAAAGAGGTGTGGGAGTGGCCATTCCCAATTAGACTCCACCGCCTTCAGAAGGCAGGAGTTGGCATAGTATTAAAGCAGCTAACAACACATCAGGGGTGGCCTTGAGGAGCTGAACAGAGACCCGCTGGACTGATTAGGTTAGTACTGGCCTTAAAAAATCTTCATAAATGTTCTCATGTCTACTTCACTAAGAAAAACAATTTTACATGAGTGACTTTGTGTGAGTACTTTATGTTCTTGCTGCTTTTCTGTGTGCTCAGGAGACAATTTAAGTATTGTTAGTTCCTGAAGGACATGTCCGTAAAGAAAAATAATATTCAACCATATAAGAGCAAAACAAGAGCAACGAATTTGATAATATGAGAAAAGTTAGAGTGATATCGTTGTAGACACTCTGAAAATACAACTACATTGGTGCCAGGCCGCATGCAGAAGCTTGCTTATGGTAAAGCCATTTATTAAAAAGGATATATTTGTGTGATTCATAGAGGAGTCAACACACGATTACACTAGATTTACAGTTGGCAGTGTCACACATTTGGAAACATGACTTAATCCATGAAAAAAAAAATCTGGAGGGTTTTATTCCTCTAGAACCGGCGCTTCCAAATGGGAAACCAGTCATTCATGCTTACCAATTAGGATCTAAATTTACACTTCCATCATTGATTTTTACGGAGAGTAGTTTATTGCTCTTGTAAGTGACTTTGCGATTGAGCACCAAGAAGCATCCTATTTTTCCTCCTTCTTCTCCTTCTTCCCTCCTTCTCTTTGCCCTCCTTCTTCCTCCCCCTCTTTTTCCTCTCCTGCCTCTTCTTCCTCCTCCTCCTTCATGTTCAATATATCTGGGACCAAAGGGTGAGCAGGGTTTAAAGTCTCAAAATTGCATGTGAAGCTAAATGTATAGGAATTTTAGGGTAGTAAGGCAAGTGGATCTAAGAACAATAACACCCCCTCTTCAGCTATCATATTCTCTGTCCTGCAGAATATGCAGATTCCTTCTAACTGCAAATTCTTTCTCTTTGCCAAATTAAGTATTATCCTGGGCTACCCTGCCAAAGCACTTAGCCAATTAAAAAAAATTTTTTTTGCATAGTCATATTACTACTATGCAGAGAGTTTGGTTGCTTTGATAATTCTTTTTAAATAGCAGATTGCTGGGTTTCATAATCAGGATTGATTATTTCACTGTCATCATTCTAGCTTGGTTTTCTTGTGTGCTTTTTGTTTGTTTGTTTTGCGACAGTCTCATTCTGTCACCCAGGCTGGAGTGCAGTGGTGTGACCATGGTCAATGCAGCCTTAACATCTTGGGCTAAAGCAATCTTCCTGTCTCTGCCTCCCGAGTACCTGGGACTACAGGTGTGGAACACCAAACCCAGCTAATTTTTTTTTTTTTTAATAGAGACTTTATTTAATTGCCTAGGCTGGTTCTGAACTCCTGAGCTCAAGCAATCTGCCCTTCTCAGCCTTTTGAAGTGCTGGGCTTATAGGTGTGAGCCACCATGGCCAGCCCTAGTTTGTTTTTTTAATTACCCTACACTACTGTATTCTAAAATAGTGAGCCCTATGAGGCAAATGCAAAAACAAACAAACAAACAAACAAAGGATTGCTCTTGCGAAATCCAGCCCGGCTGAACTTTAAACAATGCACTGCACTGCGCCTAAAGACTGTGACAACTTCTCTGCTTCCCGGGAGCTCACAGTCTGAGGGCTGGGGGAAATGAAGATGATAACTTCTGCATGCTGTATATTCAATAATAAGACATAACAGGAAGAAACAGAAGTCAGAAGACCTAGGTTCTAATCCAGACTTTGTCATAACTAGCTTGTTGGCAAATTGCACATACTCTCTTTGGGGGTTCAACATATTCATCACAAATCTGGAGGAAGGACTAGCTAGATCCCTTCTAGCTCTGTAATTTGGGAAGTCTTGAGGGGAAAGCTAGAGATATCAGTAGAACATATAGTTTTTATAAGGCACGTGATGTCACCACGTAGGTTGGAACATAACGCAAGTCAGTAGTGCCTGGGATAATTACCAACATAAAAATAAATAAATAAAAACAAAGGTCTTATATAAGAAAGCCTTAGAATCTCGGAGGGACCCTGTGAAGTCACATTGGTGTCGGACCTGTCTAGCGCAGACAGAACTCACAGGTGGAGACAATTGTGCTGTGAGAAAGGAAGACACTCCTTGTTGACTCATACATACTAGAGTTCATTTTGCTTCTCTAGACTCATTCATTCATCCATTCATGTGCTTGTTCATTCATTTTAAAGAAACCAAGGACTGATACCATGGCGGGGAAGCCCAAGCTTCACTACTTCAATGCACGGGGCAGAATGGAGCCCATCCGGTGGCTCTTGGCTGCAGCTGGAGTGGAGGTACGTTCCGAGTTAAGTCATCTTAAGTTATACGTAATTGATTATATCAAAATATTTTAGCAAGGCAGAGACTTCCATACTTGATGACCTGTGAGTACTTTGGCCTTAAATAAAAACATCCCCGGTTATTTTTTTTTAAATGGACAAATTTTACCAAGTGAAATTTTAAAAATCTGTCCATCAAAAAGCACATGAAAACACATGAGCAATTTAAAAATATATATACATATATGATGTATATATGTTTATGTGCACATAAATATACATATATGTATATATGTATATTTGTTTATGTATATTTATATATGTATATACATATATATATATATACACACACAAACACATATATGTGAAGTCACATTGGTGTTGGACCTGTCTAGCTCAGACAAAAGTCACAGGTGGAAACAATCCTGCTGTGAGGAAGGAAGACTCTCCCGTTGTTGAATCATACATATGTATGTATATTTGAGACACAGTCTGGCTCTGTGGCCCAGGCTGGAGTGCAGTGGTGCATTTCAGCTCACTACAACCTCCACCTCCCAGATTCAAGCAGTTCTCTGCCTCAGACTCCCAGATAGCTGGGACTATAGGTGTCCGCCATCACACCCAGCTAATTTTTATATTTTTAGTACAGACAGGGTTTCACCATCTTGGCCAGGCTGGTCTTGAACTCCTGACCTTGTGATCCATCTGCTTCAGCCTCCCAAAATGCTGGGATTACAGGCATGAGCCACCACACCCTCTCTAAAATATATTTTTAAAGGAATCATAAACTAATCACAACGAGTGGAACTTATTTGTATTAGGATTTAAACAAAGTGTAAAATATAATTTATGACACATAACAATTAGAAACCTGAATATTGATTGAATATTAGATAATATTAAAGAATTACTGTTAAATTTTTTAGTGTGATTTTGTTTGTGATTTTAGGTATGATATTTCTGTTAGTTTTAACATAGTTGTTAAGTTTCAGAGATACACACTGAAGTATTTAGGATGCGATAATACGATACCTCAGATTTGTTTCATATTATGACCAGAGGAGGAGAAAAGCTGGGCATACAAATGAAAGACTGGCTTGGGTTGGTAATTATTGCAGCTAGATGATTGAAACGAAGAGAAATTTTATACAATAAAATGGTAAATACATAAGAAACTAAGTGTCATTAAACATAAACTATATAAACCGCAATGAGAGCAGGGAGGGAGTGGATTTTGTAACAAGCTTCCAGTTCAAGATTGAGTATATTCAGTCAAAGGTTATTTTGTTGTGTACCTATTAAGTGCCAGTGGCAGCAGAAAGGAGGGTTCCAGCCTTTGTTATCTTTGTACAAACGGATGCCCTGTCTCACTGTCACCCAGACGTCAGCTCTGCGGCTCAGTGCCTTTTCTCCAGCGACGTTCCCTCCCTAATCATGGACAATTGTGAGATCGTGGGAAGGTGAAGTGAACTAAAAGATGAAGCAGGCCAGGAGCAGTGGCTCACACCTTTAATCCCAGCACTCTGGGAGGCCAATGGGGGAGGATTGCTTGAACCCAGGAGTTCAAAATGAGCCTAGGCAACATAGCGAGACCCTCATCACTACAAAATAAAAATAAAAAATTAGCTGGGTGTGATGGTGCATGCCTGTAGTCCCAGCTAATCAGGTGGCTGAGGTGGGAGGGCCTCTTGGGCCTGGTAGATCAAAGCTGCAATGAGTCGTGATCCCACCACTGTCCTCAAGCCTGGGCGGCAGAGTGAGACTCTATCTCAAAAAAAAAAAAAAAAAAAAAAAAAAAAAAAAAAAAAAAAGACTGAACAGTTTTATGTTCTGACCTATGCCCTTTTCTTGAGGGATTTAATCTAAATTTCCAAGCGGCCATGACCAGCTTCTTCTGTGTACCTTGCCAAACTCAGAAATCTTATGTTCTCCAAATTATGTACCAGATGGGGGCCATTCAAGGTCACAAGTCTACAGTGCTATGGAATGGACTAACAAGAACCCATTTACCGTTTCTGTTTCCAGTTTGAAGAGAAATTTCTAAAATCTGCAGAAGATTTGGAAAAGTTAAGAAATGGTAAGATCAAGTCTCTAAGTGCCTCTGATGAGGGTATCTAGTAGAGAAGGTACAGTTGAAGATTTTAGCACCAGGCAATGCCTATGTGTGTAGGGTGGTAGCTGGGGTGGTGGAGAGGGAGAAAGAGGTTTAAACGGAAGGAATGTGGCTCCCTGAACAGGTCTGGTAACTCTCTCCAGCTAAAGGGCCAGAACTCTCAGAGTATTTGCTAGAGGAAGCACCTCCAGTGCTCTGAGAAAGCCCTTTCCTTGTTTTCATGCTATAGGCACCATGAATGAGCTGCAGTCATCAGCTCGGGATCCCACACAGCCCTCCCCATCCAAGGACACACAAGAGCATGAATAAGATGAAAAGAATAGAAATAGATATGGCCATTACCTTGAGTTGTTTTCTTTCATGGGTCATGTGACAAGGTAATATTGTAGTAATGTCATAGGTTTTGAAGAGCACAGAAAGGGATTGCTACATAAAATCACGTTTCAGAACCTATCTTAGAAGTCATGAACACCATGAGACTTAGCCTGGGAAGTTCTCATTTTAAATGACATCTCCCTGGTACTCCCGTTGTAACCTGTCTCAATTTTTTCCTAAAATATCATGAATATAAATCAACACAAGAAAAATACAAGGGACCTACTAGGTATCTGAACAGGGAATAAAACCATAAATGAAAAAACAGGCTAAAAGATAAAAGAAATCTGATAAGAAAAAGAACTACAGGAAGCTAAAATCAAAATGCTATTTCATTTTGGAGGTTAACAGGCAATAATTTCATTTTTATCACCTCAGTCATTTCAACCATCATCTTTTCATCCTGAAAGAGTGGGATTCACAGAAATTTCATGCTTTTTTTTTCTTTCTTTCTAAAGATGGGTATTTGATGTTCCAGCAAGTGCCAATGGTTGAGATTGATGGGATGAAGCTGGTGCAGACCAGAGCCATCCTCAACTACATCGCCAACAAATACGACCTCTATGGGAAAGACATAAAGGAGAGAGCCCTGTACGGTTTATTTTCTGTTTTTCCATCAACAGAGAGCACAGAGTGATTTAGGTCCTTCCTTGAGTGGGTGGGACCATGGCAGGGGCATCATGACCAGCAGCAGGCTGGGCCTTGGGTGTGTACGCTGAGGTGCCGTACTGCAGAGTCCCATGGAGATGAGGGAACAGTGAACATGGGGTGGGTTCAAGCCAATGTGATTCTAGATGAGGATGCAGTCCATGGATCCAGCACCTGATGGTGATCTCCAAACACAGATGAACCGTGAACTGAGGAGGATGGAAATCATGATTCCAGGTGCTCAGGCCTTCAGAGGCTGGACTTCGGTCAACAGCTTAGGACAAGCATAGACTGTTTGGGAGTCTGTAGATGAAGGACTTGGGATGAAAGGCTGCAAAGGGGCTGAATCTCAGGTCCCAGTAATTCCAAGAATGATGACCAGGAACCCAAATTACCAGCCCATTATATGGACTGGTCAACTTGAGCAGGGCTAGTAGAGCCTGGCACCCAGAACTATGGGGTTACCTTGACACATTGATTTAAGGCCAAGGCAGCCAGATTTATTGAAAACCAGCAAAGCCACGGGGTTTCCTTGCTGTTTTAATAGGGCTGCCAGATTCCAAATAACATCCTATGTGAAACTATTAGCAGTTCTTCAAAAAGTTTAATGTAGAGTTACCAATGACCCAGCAATTCCTCTACTAGGTATATCACCAAAAGAATCAAAATACTTCCATACCAAATCTTGTACATAAATGTACAGTGCAAATAACAGCAACTTTCATGGTATTCAGAAAGTAGAAATAGCCCAAATCTCCATGAACCAATAAATGGAGGAACAAAATGTGCCTTAGCCACACAATGGAACAATATTTAGTCATGAAAAGAGTTGAGCCTTAAGGACATGTTATGTAAAATAAATTAGACACAGAAGGCCACATATTGTAGGATTGTGTGTATGAAATGTCTAGAATATTCAAACCCATAGAGGCAGAAAGTAGATTAGTGGTTGCCTGAAGCTATTTGGGGTTTGGGGAAAATGAATACTCAATGAGTACAGATGTCCTTATCAGGATGATAAAAAGATTCTAGAATTAGATAAAAATATTCTAGAATTAGAGTGCAATGATATTTGCAGAATTCTGTAAATGCACTAAAAGTCACTGAATAGTATAATTTAGTGGGTGACAACTATAATATGTGACTGTGTTAATAAAACTGTTGTTTTTAAAAGTACTGTGGAAAACCCAGTTAACATAAAAGAAAAAAAAAGTTCCTCTAAAATATGTCCTGGTTGTGACTGTATAAAGAATTTCACCAAGGAAGACGATCTTTTAGGTTGGATGTCAGGTAAGGCACACATGACCAGAGCCGGGCAACAGCACACCGAGAGGGCTGTGGAATCACGTTTCACGGGAGTAACTGGAAAAACTGCTAACACTGGGCATAGAAGTGGGCCTGGGTGTAAAATGATGAGAGAGGGCGAGGAACATGGCTGAGACGGCTGTGCTGGGGACTCTCTTAGGATTACTCAGGAGGCAGGTCTTTGGCCATTTGACTTACACTAGGTTTATGCACAGAACAAACCACAATAGACTTGGAAAACCCCGGCACAGCATCAATGGTTAATGGCAGTGATTCCACCAATTTCTCTTATGACTGTGACTGTAGACAGGTTACTGATGCTGTTTGTACCTATATTTGGTCATGTGCATAAGAACAATTTTAGAGATCTATCTACCTCAATAGGAGGTTTTAAGAAATAAATGTCGGCCAGGCGTGGTGGCTCATGTCTATAATCCCAGCACTTTGGGAGGCCAAAGCAGGTGGATCACCTGAGGTCAGGAATTCGAGACCACCCTGGCCAACATGGTGAAACCCCATCTCTACTAAAAACACAAAAATTAGCTGGGCATGCTCAGCTACTCAGGAGGCTGAGACAGGAGAATCGCTTGAACCCTGGAGATGGAGGTTGCAGTGAGCCAAGATCTCGCAGCTTCACTCTAGACTGGGCAAAAGAGGGAGACTCCGAGAGAGAGAGAGAAGGGGAGAGAGAAAGAAAGAAAAAAAGAAAGAAGGGAGGGAGGGAGGGAAGGAAGGAAGGAAGGAAGGAAGCAAGGAAGCAAGGAGGGAAGGGAAGAAGGAAAGAAGGAAGGCCAATATACACGCAAAAATCAGAGCATAATATCTAGAATATAAACAGCACCCACTGGAGGTGAATTACTTTGCCATCACCTGAGACTCTATTCTCTTAGGTTTTTACATACCTATAACATCTAAAGCAAGAGGCATTTAACCCTTTTGTTGTTTTTGTCTTTCAGGATTGATATGTATACAGAAGGTATGGCAGATTTGTATGAAATGATCCTTCTTTTGCCCTTATGCCGACCTGAGGAAAAAGATGCCAAGATTGCCGTGATCAAAGAGAAAACAAAAAATCGCTATTTCCCTGCCTTTGAAAAGGTAAGTGAAGCTCTTCAGAATTTTGGGGCATTGAGTTTAGAGGACGGTAGAAAAATAGTGGTTGGGCATTCCTGTGAGACTTCCTGAACACCAATGCCGCACTCTGACTCTCAAGGCATTTTATGAAAATAAACTTGGAGGAACAATGATACCACTTATCCCCAAGTTACAAATTTTCCAGCAAAATTTCAATTAACTAGACCCCAATATAGAACTTTCTATTCAACAATTTTATCTTCGTCAGTAGAACATGGGCTGTGGAAGGCTCGAACCGCACGAGGGGTTGCTGTTGAGTCTACAGAACACAGACTTTGAAGATGAACGTGATGAAAGCAATCCACCAGAAAGTATTCTGGCACCTTGTGTAGGAAGACAGGAGACCAATTTCCCAACCACAGAATATGGTAGTGTTTCAGAGATGAGTATTTCTTAAAAAGAGAATGATTGTGGGATGCAGAGGAAGTTTTTAGCTTTTTGTTTTTTGTTTTTTTGAGAAGGAGTTTTGCTCTTGTTCCCCAGGCTGGAGTACAATGGTGCCATCTTCGCTCACGGCAACCTCTGCTTCCCAGGTTCAAGCGATTCTCCTGTCTCAGTCTTCTGAGTAGTTTGGATTACAGGCATGCACCAGCACACCTGGCTAATTTTTGTATTTTTAGTAGAGACAGGTTTTCTCCATTTTGGTCAGACTGGTCTCAAACTCCCGACCTCAGGTGATCCTCCCACCTTGGCCTCCCAAAGTGCTGGGATTACAGGTGTGAGCCACCGTGCCCGCCCAGAGGAAAATTTTTTTAAATGCATTTTTTTTTTTGAGATGGAGTCTTTCTCTGTCACCCAGGCTGTAGTGCAGTGGCACAATCTCAGCTCACTGCAACATTTGCCTCCTGGGTTCAAGTGACTCTCCTGCCTCAGCCTCCTAAGTAGCTGGGATTACAGGTGCGCCCACCACACTCAGCTAATTTTTGTATTTTTAGTAGAGACTGGATTTCACCAGGTTGGTCAGGTTGGTCTCGAACTCCTGACCTCATGATCCGCCCCCCTCAGCCTCCCAAAGTGCTGAGATTACAGGCATGAGCCACTGCACCCAGCCTTAAACGCATTTTAAAGTAAGTTGCAGACATCAGCGTAGTTCATTCCTAGGTGCTTCAGCTTGCAGATTATAATAGTGCAGGTTAATAGTCAGAGCTGATGTTGCAAGGAAGATGATGAATTCAAGTTCACCCAGGTTTACTTCAGATCCCAGGGATACAGAGCAGGAAATGAGGAAAGCAGACAAGGCATTTTATGAAAATAAACTTGGCAGAACAATTGATACCACTTATACCCAAGTTATAATTTTCCAGCAAAATTTCAATTTACTAGACCCCAATACAGAATTCTCTATTCAACAAAATTGTATGTTTGTGAGTAGAACGTGGGCTGTGGAAAGCTCTTAATCACACTAGGGGTTGCTGTTGAGTCTATGGAACATATGGAGAAGCGAAGACTCTGAAATAGCCTACTCCTGGGGGAAGAGAGCTGTCATGAAGGTGGAGTTGCTGCCCAAGGGAGACTGGAGAGGGAGAGAGCAGAGTGTAGAACCACATCCTGGATGTCAGGACTGCGTGCTGGAGGGCGTGGGGCAGATAGAACATGTTGTAGCAGGTGCTAACCACTGGCGCATGTGGAAGAGGCAGGCTGGGTGGGTGGTGTGGATGCCACAGTGATGTGGAATGAGAAGAGAAAATGGGAGCCTGGGCTCCAACCAAGGAGTGAGCAGAGCCACATTCTTGCTCCGTCCCTCAATCAGGGAACATAAACAAAGGCCTGGACCTTTATGTCACCCAGTTAGGCAACACAGGTGGGAATGTCAGGCTGGAAAGACTCAGGGAGAAGCAGGGACCCGGCCTGATTGTGCATGTGTTCCTGATCTGATTCCTCAAAATCTCCAGGTCTTAAAGAGCCATGGACAAGACTACCTTGTGGGCAACAAGCTGAGCCGGGCTGACATTCAGCTGGTGGAACTTCTCTGCTACGTGGAAGAGCTTGACCCCAGCCTTATCTCCAGCTTCCCTCTGCTGCAGGTGACCCATTTCACCACCCAGAGAGGCAGCCCCACATCTCCCATCTCAGAATCTAGTATCTGGGCCTCTGGACTGGCCATCTTCTGACCCCAGCCTTTTTTAGGCCTTCAGTGCTCCCAGGTCTCCAAAATGAGTTTCCTGGCCCCAATTTTGAAGCATGAAAAAACTCTTGTTATAGCAGGGAAATCTGTGGGGCATGCTACCCCATGAAGAGTATTTTGCCTTTTATCACAGAAAGGACCCAGGGCCCAGCATCTTCCTCCCCCTTCCTCTGTAGTCTGTCCCTGAGTTCTCTGTGATGCCCTTTATGTCAGGAGTGTCCTTGTGTTCCCACACTGAGTGTGTCTGAGCAGGGCCCTTTCCATCTGGTTCCTTCCTGGGTTCTGGCTCATGCTGTCGGACGCTGTGTTCCTCTCTTCACGGTCCTCTCAACACACTGCCCTGCACACTGTGTCTCTCAGTGGGAAAAAGCGGTCCCATGGTTTGTCTTTAACATTTTCTGTACTATTTTCCTTTCCAACTCCTTTCTCCGTTTTTTTACTTCTGCTTAGAGACTGATCTGTGTTGATATCTCACAGGCACATTGTTTTTTCTTGTCTTACACAAGAGCCGAAAATCTACAGGATTAATATGTAAGGGCTAAGATAAGCATGACTGAACTGAATAAAATCTTAAAGACATCTTTGGGGAAAATGCTAGCGAGCTACCTGTTCTTGTTCTTGTCTTCATTTCTCACTGGGTGTCTGTTTCTGCCTCCATACTGGTGCTGATGGAGGGGACTCAGTTGGTCTTTGGCAGGAGGGCTCAGATTCCCTGGGTGGTGTTAACGATGATGTCAGCCCTTGGCTTCACTCTGAGGCTATGCTTTGTGAATTACAGGCCCTGAAAACCAGAATCAGCAACCTGCCCACGGTGAAGAAGTTTCTGCAGCCTTGCAGCCCAAGGAAGCCTCCCACAAATGCGAAAACTTTAGAAGAAGCAAGGAAGATTTTTAAGTTTTAATAAAGCAGCCATAGAGGCCAAGAATATGCAAGACCAATATTCTAAAGCTTTGCAACAATAAAGTGCTTTACCTAACTGTTGATTGTGCCTGTTGTGAAGCTAATGAACTCTTTCCACTTACGTGCTAATTAAATAATAAAAAAAAACTGCTATTTGCTGTCTTAGTTAAAATTTAAGCCTTTTCATTAGGATCTGATATGAAATCAGATTTCTAATCTCTTCCTATCCTGTCTCTTTCTTAAAATTAAAAATTTAGTAAAAATGGGAAATGTAAGGGCCGGATGTGGTGGCTCACGCCTGTAATCCAAGCACTTTGGAGACCATGGCGGGCAGATCACCTGAGGTCGGGAGTTCAAGACCAGCCTGACCAACATGGTGAAACCCCGTCTATTAAAAAAAAAAGGCGGGGGGGGGGGGAATGTAGGTTATGTGGTTTGTTTGACTTTTCCAAGATTGTCCTGTAACATTTGTCATACAATTTATTAAAAAGTCAGTTGTAGAAACATATGTCTGACATTTTCAGGTATGCACAGGGAAAGAGTTACTATTCTGAGTAATGGCTTAAAGACATTTTCTTCTTTTCCTGGACAGTCATTTTATTTCTGGTAAAAGCATGCTTTCTGACACATTTTCAAGACAGCTAATCCGTCTGCTGTGGCTTCCTCAGTGTTCTGGGAGGTGAGGAAATACTGAAGAGCAAGCAGACCCGTCCTCTGCTCTCAGGCCACCCTACTGTCCCTCACAGTGCGTGTGCTCCTGGCTCATCCTCACCCTGCTCCTTAAGGCTCTGTGGGGCCCTGGAGGTGAACCTTCCCTCAGTTCCCTCAGTGCCATTCAGGCCTGGGCTGCCAAGATATAGATGGTATCTGTGAATTACATACAAGTAACTATATGCAAAATCATTTTTCCCTGGTGTGTCAATGTGCCAGAGTGCTTGGATTAGGACCACTTCCTAGCTTCAGCCTCTATTGTGTCTATAATGCTAATCCCTCCCAGGACACCTAGGCTTCTGCAAAGTGAGCTCTCCTCCTCTGAGAGTGGCTTCCCCACAGTTGGTGAAGGTGGGTGAGGGAGCAGACAGACACACAGGCTTCCTACCTGCAGCTTCACTTTGCCCTCATCTCTTCTCCACTTACTACCAGAGTAGGTTTTCTAAAATGCAGGTCTGAATATCACAGAATTCTTCAGTGAGTGCTCACTGCATACAGAATGCATCCTCATACCGGTCCTCACTCCCTGATCTCCAGCCTAATCAACCCTCTGAGCATGGTAGGGCCTCTTGCCTTCCTGCCTGGGTGCATTTGCTAGCCCTGCCTGGCAAGCTCCTTCCAGTGCCCACAATTAAGTCTGCCCCGTTGCTTCTGAGGAGTGCTGGGCTGTCCTCTGTGCTCCCCACAGAGTCCAGTGAGCCTGTAATAACACCTGAGGTCCACTGTGTCTGCTCCACTGTCGCATGAGCTCAAGTGTGGGACACTTACATAAACTAGAATGCTGAAGCTTTGATGAAACTAAGAGATTGCAGAATTTTAATATGGTAAGAAAAGAATGTGATTATGTTTAGACCAGTAGTTCTTCCTTTCTAGACATGAATCCTATTATTTACAGAGGAAATGATATGCTGTCTGGAATTTGCTTCAAAAGAATCCCCTGGCAGTTGGGGGAGAAGGTGGAAGTTGATATTATCTTCTATGGCTTCTGTCACAGATTCCTATAAACCAGGTGGCTTGAAACAACAGAAATTCTGAAGGTCAGAAGTCTGAAATCAGGTACTGGTGCAGGTGGAGGGGCCTGGCTTGGTCCCTGGAAGCTCTAGGGAACAATCCTTCCCTGCCTCTCACAGCTTCTGGGGGCTCTTGGCAATTCTGGACTTTCATGGATCATGGCCACGTCACTCTACTTTCTGCCTGGGGCTTCCAGCACTCAGCCTCTGTGTGTCTGTGTGTTCTAGGTTGTGGGGACACTTCTCATTAGATTTAGAGCCTATTAGATATACCAGGATGATGTCATCTCAAGTTCCTTAACTTCATCTGCAAAGAGCCTTTTTCCAAATAAGATCACATTTATAGGATCCAGGGGTTTGGGCATGGACCTATCTTCCATGGGGGCAGACATAACCCACTGCATGGTGTAGGTGAAGGAAGGTTCTTGTCAATTGATGAATCCAGGTCCTGGGTACTTTCAACTTTATTATATGATTCTCTCTACTTTTGTATTTGCTGGAATTTTTCCATGTAAATTAAAAAACTATCTTATTATAGGAGCTCCTATGACGTCCAGGTTTTGTGCCAGAACGTGAAGACTGGAATCAAACAGAAGAAGGCTTTCCCTTCAGGAGCGCAGGGTCTAGTGGAGAAGCTGATACTGAATGCATCATGTCAAAACAGCATAGGGAAAGAAGACAGTAGAGAAAACACAGTAGTAGGTGAAGGAAGCGACTTCCAGTCAGGACAATTACCATGTACAAAGACCCAGAGGTCAGGAACGATGATTTGAGTGACACAGAGAGGAAAGAATTTGCAAATTGGGTGGCCAGATTTGGCAGACAAAATACAGGACACCCAAGTAAATAGATGAACAATCTATTTGAACAATCAGATGAACAATCAATACTTTTTTTTGTATAATCATGTTACCTACAGTGCTTGGGACATACTTATGCTAAAAAGATATTAATTCTTTGCCTGAATTTTACCTTTTCCTGGGTTCCCTGTATTTTATGTGGCAACCCAGTAAGAGAAGCCTTCCAGAGTGCCATCAGCCTGCCCGTCACAGACATCCCCTCCCAGCTATGCTCCCAGCAGAGGTTTCTCATCTGCTTTAGTCCTTGCCTCCAAGCCATGAAAAGTAAGCGTCTTTAAAAAGCCAGTTTCTACAGACTTGGAAAGAGCCAAATCTGCTGAAATGTTTTCTTAAACTTTTATTGCCAACCTTGAAAAGGAACATATTAACTAGTTATCTTGTGATAAGAGGATGACTTGCCATTTTTCTTAGATGGTAGTAGGCAGTCCTGTGGCCCTGAAATGAGTGGGAGTGGCTTTTTGCTAAATTGACTGTACCCCTCTCAATGGGCGGGAGCTATGGAAAGGAATATGTAGCTTATAAGCACATCAGGACCTTGAATTAAGTTGTTGAACCAAGAGGGTGACAGCCTTAACAAACTAAACACTGATTTTATAAATCAGCTCATACTGCCTCATATTCTCTAATCTAGATCACTAGAAAAATACTTTTAAATGTATCCTTAGCACAATTTTAAAAATCTGTTTAATACTCACATCAAAGCCTTCTTTGTGTGCTTGGATGAGAGTTCAAGTTGTGCATTCAGCTGCTTTTGGATACATCGTGTCAACTTAATAAACAGAATGAGACTCTAAAATAAAAGATGTTTATGTGGGAATGAAGTTTTGTAATGGGTTTATGTGTGCCATAGTAAACCATGTATGTACTTAAGGAGATAAAGACAAAGGTTTTCAAAGAAAAAAATAAAAAGGATTAAATAAATGGTCTAAAATACTTATTCACTACAAACATTAATAACAATGGTGACATCAGGTCAAGTTTGAACTGGCAGTTACTGATCAGATGTCCTCGCAGAAGTTTTTTGTATAATGTTGTGATAAGCTTTGTGCAAGATTAAGTTTTTGGTAACATTTTTTCTTACCCAACATAAAGAATGAGAACCTTCTCTCCAAGGCTTTTCCAGCTCTGTTTGCCAAGGTTTCCTTAACATTAGCAACTTTTCATTTTGTTTCTGATAATGTTCACAGTCATTACAGAAATGTAAAAATAAAGAATTTATAAAACTAGGGCATGAGAATGTAGTGATAGGAAAAAAGTGAATGATCTGAGGTAAAAAAAAAAAAGATGGTGCCGTTTTAGATAATCTGAGAATATGAGCAGTGCCAGAGGAAACATAGGTATTTGTGCTGAAGTTGCTTTCGCCAGACAAGTAGTCAATGCATAATTGTTGTGAATGAAATTTGGCTAGATCATAGACTTGGGATTCCCAAGACCCGTGAAAAGGACATAGATCTGCACAGTTCCATGTCTGCTGTTGTTACTCCAAACCTCCATCTCCTGTCGAGAAAAGAACCACCAATACCTATCAAATACAATTCTAATTTTCAACTTGATAGTAGATATCACACACATTCGTGCTTCCTTTGGGAAGTGCTTTGTGATTTGTTGCCAAGTGTTGGTGCCACTGCCTTTTCAATATTTCTTTAAGGTTGTTATGCTCCAAATAGCAGGCAAAATCCTTTGAGAGCCACCGTGTAGCACTTGCAGGTTAATCTAAGACTGTAGTACTTTTAGCTTTATAAAGCAAGATTTATGATGAAATTTATGATGAAAAATAATAAATTTATGAAAAAAATTTTCATTTATGAAAAATTATGATGAAAATTTTATGATGAAAAAAAATTAAGAACAAGAATGCCCTTCTTGTGAATTTTTACATTCCTGATTCAGTGATTATTTATTAATCCTTGTCCTTTGCCCCATTAAACATTTGTCCAAAAATCCAGCTCTTTCCAAATTCTTCTTTCTTTAGTCCTTCTGTGTCTACTTAGTGGGACAGTCCCATTCTTTCTTTCTTTTTTTTTTTTTTAGCCCATTTCTTTATTAATTCTGCTTAAACTGCAGAAAATTGAGTCTGATAATCAGGATTGGTTGATCCATTGTCACGATTCTATTATTTTTCTGTATTATTTAATTTCCACATCAAGCAAGCTCGAAAGTGAAAATTAGAGAAATCTCTGTGACCACTAAAATGTACAGCAGTGCTACTTCTGTTAGAATGAATCAGTCTCTGAACGTCAGGCAAACTAGAATCTGATTAGTCTTTGCTACTAATTAGCTGGATGACAAGTCACATTCTCTCTCTGGGGTTCAACCAGCTCAGGACAAACCTAGAAAATAGCTAAGAAAAAGTCTCTTACCTTTGGCCCCGCTTGGGTTGGGTAATTATTCATGCTCAGGGACTGCCTTGTTCATTAGAGGACATTTCAAGTCGTCACTGGCCTCTACCTACTTGATCTGGTAGCATGAGGTAACCCCACGTTATGACAACCAAAAATGTCTTCAGACATTGGTGAATGTCCTCTGA